AAGGGTGACCGTCGTGAGGCAGGGTGACGAGATGAGTGGGGGTGGAGGGGAAGTGCCGACGGGCTCCCGACTGGAAAAAGAGAAAGTTCCGCGGTGGCTGTTGCTTGCTCGTGAACTTGCGAGAGTTGAGAAATGAGACGAGAGTACGGGAGAGGGAGAGGAAGAGGAAAGAGCCGCGGCTCCACGCGATGGTGATTTCAATGCTCGGCCCTCTCGAAAAGGAGAATTAAGAATGAAGATAAGTGGGATCCAGCGCTCCTCGGCGTCTCGAGCTTGAAAAATTTTGCCGCACGCCCGTGCAATTTGGTGTAGGCTCGGCTCTTGCGTCGGGCATTAAACGCGCACGCACAGTCTCACCAATTGTCGTAATGAAATCGGAGATCTCGCTTAAAGACAGTTATTACAATAATGCCTAGTCGGGTAAAGTTGGAGAATAGATGAGAGAGAGAGAGAGAGAGAGAGAGAGAGAGAGAGAGAGAGAGAGAGACATGGGGGGAAACGTGATAAAAGCACGAATTACCTGTCGAGTTATTGCATATTAACGATAGCGCCACGACTTGCCAGATTAAAGTGGGACATTAATGATTATATAAGTATTTAGTAAGTAGCGAAGAGAGTGACTTTACATTACGAAGGATATGCGTCGACACTATTAGAGAGCGCTTAATACCCATTGCGTAATGTTGATTATTTATCGAGTAAATAAAGATGCTTGGGACGATAATAGAAGGGACAAGCCGCTTGGTTACATTTATCCATCGCAAGTAATAATACATTTTTCTCGTGTGCGCCTGATGCAATCGCGAGGCTACGCGGTTCTACGTGAAGTAGCGTTCGACGTTAATGCGGCCATTAAGTAGCGCATTCGATAGCTCGATTATTTATATTATTTATTGGAATAGCAATGGCCGGTCCGAGATTTTCCAATTAATATTTTTGCTTTTATTCGCAAGACACGAGCCACGATACGCTATGGGTTGGTTAAACGGCGCCTGCATAAGAAGACATAAAGTAGAGCGTAGTTCTAGATTGGTAGATTGGCCGTATGTGTGCGTGCGTGCGCGCGTGTGCGAATCAAGAAGGAAATATACGATTTTTAAAGTACTTTAGCAGTCGGGTAAAAGTAAAATGTTTGGAAAAGTATGTGAATGAGACAATAGGTTTGTTAAGTTGTGAATTAATAGATTAAAGAATATATTAAATAATAATTAAATAACAATGGGTTTCCGGTTAGTTGCTTAAATCGCCAGGGGATTCATAAATCGATGAGATTGCTTTTGCATTATCGTGTAAAATCCTTGCGGACGCAATTTTATAATCGAGAGCTCTCTAATTTAATCAATTTCTTTCGATACCCAGAAGTACAGTGTAGCTATTTATTCGACTTGAGCATCGAGGCTCCGAATAAAACTTTCCATTATTGCCGACCTCGGCCATTGGCATTATTCTCTCTCTCTCTCTCTCTCTCTCTCTCTATATATATATATATATATATATATATATATATATATATATATATATATATATATCCCCGCACTTATAATCAACAACGTTGCTTTGATTGGTGAACGGCCCATCAGTGGCATTAGAGATCGAGTTTGGGGCCTCGTTATCACGGCCTCGGATGGACTTGGCCGCTTTTAAAGCCCAAATCAGGAAATTCGTTGACGATGCTCGAAAGAGAATACAGAGGCTCGTGAAGAACTTGGTTGGTGCGACGCGAGCGCGAGAAAAGTCAAGAGTTACGCGCCGCAGCAGGGAAAATGCAAATACGGGCGGGACGTCGGGCCGGGATGTATTATTTACGAGACCTCTCGAAGATGCTGCGATGAATCTTGGCGAGCGGGGCGGGGCGGAGGGACGGCCCACGAGGGAAAAAGAAATAAAGCGAAGAAATGAAAGACAACGGGAGCGGAAGAGTGCATGCGAGCTTCTCTTGCTCTTACAATCGCTCAACGAGAGTAGAGAGCTATATAGTCCAGGAGAGTGAGTGAGAGAGACAGAGACAGAGAGAGAGAGAGAGAGAGAGAGAGAGAGAGAGAGAGAGAACGAGTACGGTAAGGAGTGGCCTGGGCAGAGGGACTTCAAACATCTGGAAGAGGGCGCGATGAGAGAGGGGGTAGGGGTGGGGTAGGAGGTGGGGGCACATCGGCTGGTATGTTTCTTCCTCGGGTTTCTTTGTCGTCGTGTATGCGAGTGCGCGCGCGAGAATTCTACGGGTACCCCCTCCACGCTCCTTTTTCCACGGCTCGGCGCCGTTCCCTCCTCGAGTGGTGGTTATCCAGTCACGCTCGCTGTCTCTCTCTCACTCGCAGGTTCGCTCCGTAAGCCCCGCGCGTCACACGTATACGCTGCCGCACACATGCGCAGCGGACTTACACGTAGGCCGGAGAAAATAGCAGCAGAGTGCGGCGAGCCGTGCGGCGCGCAACTTTACCTCTCGTCAGTCGGCGTCGAGGAGACAGTGCTACGTACGGGCTCGCCCGCGTTCGTATTATATCCTCGTTTAGGCGAGAGAGCGAGAGGGGCTGCTACGCGTACCCGGGGGCCCCCGCGAGGAAGCGAGCGCGCGAATTCGTGCGGCTCGCACACGCACGTTCAGACGGGACTTGGAACGGGAAGGAGAGAAGGAGAGCAGGAGAACGAGGAGAGGGAGAGAGTGCACCACGCGCTCGGCGAGAGAGAGGGAGAGCGCGCGCGCAGGACTAAGTGCGCGGCTGCCAGCGAGGGAACTCGTCGTCGCTTCTAAAGAGCCACCGGTGATTCTTTCAATATCGCGCTTTTTTTGCACGCCCTCGCGAGCAAGCGCTTCCCCACGTGTGGCTTCCCTTGGTTTTTTGAGGTTAGCAGCGACTTGCTCGCCCTCCCTTAGGACGGGGGGCTTTGCGACTGGGGTGGTAGGGAGGGACTTGCGGCGCGGCGAAAAACACGGTCAGGGCGGGGCGAGGTGGGTTGGGGCGGTGGCGGCGATCGAGCAGCGGAGATGCGGAAAGTCGAGATCCTCGTAGAAGGTTTATCGAGAAGGAAGGGCGAGTTGTTGTGTGTGGGGCAGTATGCCGCCAGTACGAAGGAGACGCGGGATTATGTGCTTTGTGCGTACGTATGACGCTCGGGAGTTGAGGTTAGATTGACCTTGCGCAAATCCTGCGGGACTACGATATTGTGTGCCAAAGGGATTTATTCACCGTCTAACGTAACACTCGCGCGCGCACACACACACACACACACACACACATGCGCGCGCGCGCGCGCGCGTGCACAGAGAGAAAGAGAGAGAGAGAGAGAGTGTGGTCGAGTGATCGTGCGATTGTACCGATGCCCTTCATCTTCCTTTACTTTTGCCTTTCCTACTTTTCAAGGACTTTGGTTCTTTACCGATACTGTGTTTGTTTATTATTTTCAAAGAGCCGCAACATCTCTCTCTCTCTCTCTCTCTCTCTCTCTCTATATATATATATATATATATATATAT